TTTGCTTCTTCCACATATTTTCCTAACCCTGTTAATATAAATCAAAATAGATAAAAATAAACCCTACAGCCAATGGATAAGAAGGGAAAACACTCACTTTCAGTGCTCACTACTCCATGTGTTGGATGCCAGCAGCCAACAGAAACAGATGGCACTTTATTCAACCTGATTTATAAATGTAACTAACATTTTTCTATTGCATATTTCATGAGTTTTATATAATGTATGATTGTTTTCAATATGTTCTATAATTGGAAAACATACTTATTTTTTAGAATATATATGTAAACTTTATATATGTGTATGTATACATATACTGGTATACACACACACACACACACACACATATATATATATATAATTTATATAGAAGCATTTTGAACAGCTGCCAGATAGCTACTGGCATTTATTCCTTAGTATAAATCTGAAGATATTTGGCTTTACAGAGGTTTTCAAGGTTTGATTTACTTGTCCTAATTAACATTGAATTTGAAATTTTGCTCAAGAATAAGAATTTATATATATAAATTACATAGCAAGTCATTCCTTATGTTTTATCTGGCTACATCATAGTTTATTTATAATATATTTTTATTGATTTCAGAGAGAGGAAGGAAGAGGGAGAGATAGAAACATCAATGATGATAGAGAATCATTGATCTGCTGCCTCCTGTATACCCCATACTGGGGATCAAGCCTATAACCTGGGCATGTGCCCTGACTGGGAATCGAACCAATACCTCCTCCTGGTTCATAGATGGACGCTCAACCAGTGAGCCATACCAGCCTGGCTCATGGCTTACTTATTAACTGTTGTTTGTGTAAATGTTGATTTATCATAAAAAAGGTAAATTGTTAAGTACAGAGAAAACTGCACATGAGTGCGTAAAACCCATCCTATGATATTAAAGATGAAGATATGGAGATACTGTCTTCTAGCTTTAAAGTTAGTCCACTTGTCAAATGAATCATTCTAACCTTGGGAAAATCATCATGCATCAAACAATTGCAAATTAAAATAACCCCTGTTCTAAAGAATTAATTTAAATTTGTTACATGTCTTCTAGTCCAAATGGAGTTATTGAAACATTTAATTATTTGTTTCAGGTGAATAAGCTACTAAAATATTTTATTATTTTCTAATACCATTTCATTCTCTTGGTGGATGTTTTTATCACCTCCTGTTTTCAAGTAAATGTACTATACACAGATAAAGAGCCAGGTGATCTAAGCAGCTCGGGTTGAATAGTTCTTTAGGCAAATAAAGTTCTTAAAATATGACAAACCAAAAATAATAATAATAATAATGTGTCAAGATTTGGAGTGAGTTTCAAACTTTCCATTTGCTTTTAATAGCTTAATAATTGCAAAAAGAACCACAATTTGGAATTGAACCTTCAGTTGATCATTTGGAACTTCTAGGTAATGTGTCTGCTTTATTTGGTTTCTAAAATAGTGTCAGCCTCAATGTATATCATAAAATTGCCACCTGGTTTTGAATACATCTATACATCTAAGATGGGGCAAGTTCTTTGATAATTGAAATTTGTTGGATGAGCCGAACATGTTTTTGTTTTTCTTTCTTTTTACTTTTTTGCATAATTTCTCCCACTTTTTCACTCCCCTTACATCTTCTAATTCATTCAGGGGCACCATGTGTAAGATATGTTCTGTTGTGATCATAGGCAATTATGACTTGTCGTGACTATTTCATTGAAACTAGAAAGAAACCAATAGCTCTCAGCATTTTCTTGGAGGAGTTGGTATTGTCAAGAGTTGTGTTTGGATTAAATCACCTTATATTTTTTTCTTTGTGAATATTAGTGATGTGATAAATGCTGAAGAAGCTTGCTATAATTTACTTTGGTAATGGATCATGGTAGTCACTATACTGTGTAGGATAGCAAATTGGGTAGAATACAGTGTTAATTTGAGATATTGAGGTCTTCTCTCTATTGGGTACAATTCTCTAACTTACTTGTTTCGAAACATAAGAATTCATGTAGGCATTATGATGTTACAGCTTAAGTATTCAAGTGAGAGTTAGATATTTCTTTTCTCATGATAATTTTGCTTATCTCTATTTGGGATTAAATTTATTAATTTGGATTTGGCATGCAAGAAAAATTACTGAATTGGGAGTTGAGACACCTGGATTGGAAGTTTACCTTTGTTAATTATCAGCTATGTGATCATCAAGTCACTTCCCTGGACTGCTTTTTCAAAGCTCTAAGACAATGTCATTTCATATTCTTACAGTATTTTTCTGACTAGAAATTGTTTATGTTGCTTATGGTTAGTTATTTAAAATTACTACAGGAATACAGCAATGATTACTATTTAGTAATAAGTGCACTTAATTTAAAATAACTGTTTTGGATACTTATAAATACACTTACTCATTTTAAAAATAGCATTTAATTAAATATATGCATATTTATATAAGAAGGAAGTTAAAAATATAGAGAGGTGTAATTATGCCATCATTTGTTATGATCATTTATTGGCATTATTGTGCCTTTTGATACTAATTGCAGTATGAGTATGAAAAACTTTGAATTGATGGAGTCATTCCAGATGCTTGAAGATTTAAAGTATTAATTATAAATTGTAAATAATTGTATGTCTTCTAAAGAATTGAAAACGTGAACTTGGAGCTTTCACCTATATATTTCAAAAATCATTTCACTGATTAGGTGATTCAAAAACTAAATGATTCATTTGCTATTTCATTACCTAAAAGTTGGATTAAAAGAAGAGAAATATGGCAGTGTGTGAAGGCGTTGTGAGCATTCTGACATGTTTATAGAACTACTAGTAAACTGAGTAATTTGAATATTTTCCCTTTGATATTGGTTATTCTGGTCACCTTAATTGAAATACCTTATATGCAAAAATTATGCAAATTGAGAAAATAGCTTATTAGAGAAGGAAACAATAGTTTATCCTTTTTAAAAATTTATTTCAGAGAGGGAGAAAGGGAGGGAGGGAAGGGAGAAAGGGAGGGAGGGAAGGAGGGGAAGGGAGAGAGAGAGAGAGAGAGAGAGATATCAGTGATGAGAGAGAATCATTGATTGGCTTCCTCCTGCACATCCCACCCTGGAGATCGAGCCAGCAACCAGGCATGTGCCCTGACCTAGAATCAAACTGTGACCTCTTGGTTTATAGGTTGATGATCAATCACTAAGCCATGCCAGCTGGGCAATAATTTGCCCTTTTGACAATATTTTATCATTTATATTTTCTAGCATAATCATTTATGAGTTTCAATCCAACCACTTATTTATTTTATTCCAACAAATTTATTCAGACTTTGTAATACATATCTTATTAAGTTTAATTGGGTTTAGAAAGATGAGTATTACATGACCTTACCAGTTTGGAGATGAACTGTGTTGGAGGACAGAAATTGAAGCATAAAGGATAGGCATGTCACAGAAGGGAAAGATGGATATGTAAAGAGATAGACATAAAGTTTGAGTTAGAACTTAGATAAATGTTGTCAATATTAGGGACTCTTTTGCGCTAATATTCTCAAACTTTAATGTGAGTGTGGCTTACTTGGGGATCTTGTTAAAAGGCAAATTTCAATTCAGTGTGTAGTAAGAATTAGGATTCTACATTTCCACAAGGTCCTAGGGAAGGCCAGTGCTTATGAGCCATGAATGGTATTTTGAGGAGCAATGCTCAGTACTGTTCTTTGGGATTAAGAATAGATGTAGGGTCTGCATTTAAAGACTTTTCTTGATACAGTCTTACTTTTTCTTCCTAATTCCCTACATAATGTGATTAAAACGTACTAATTGGCAGTACAAATGTAAATGAATACATAGTTTATAAATTTACTTATTTTAAATGACTAGTCCAGTCAAGTATTGGTTATCTAAAGGCAGATTAAATAGTATGCAATGAGCCATGGTATTACAATAACAAGGGACTCAGTATTATGAATTGAAATGACAGTACTTTAGGAAAACATCAATGTATTATGTTGAATAGCAATTCTTTTTAGAATTATTTGGTAACCATAATCTGGGAATGTAATTTGTGGGAGTGGTGCCGCCTTTCTCTTCCATTCTCTGAAGAGCAGTGATCTGCACATGGAATTGTAGGTCTACAGAGGCTGTGCTATGTGGGTGGAGATTTTTAACATATCGGCTGTAAATACTTCTGTAGTTCATACTTTATTACTCTTAAACCTTTGGATATTGTCTTTCAAATGGTAAATGTGTTCTGAAATACATATTAAATGAATTTAAAATAAGTCATTTATATCATATTTTGCTTAGTTTTATTTTAACTAGAATTTGGGGACATCTGAGATCTTTTCCTCCCACTTTTAAAAAAACTGATTATTGCCCTAGCTGGTTTGGCTCAGTGGATAGAGCTTCGGCCTGTGGACTGAAGGGTCCTGGGTTTGATTCCGGCCAAGGGCACATGCCCGGGTTGTGGGCTCGGTCACCAGTAGGGGGCATGCAGGAGGCAGCCGATCAATGATTCTCTCTCATCATTGATCTTTCTATCTCTCTCTCCCTTTCCCTTCCTCTCTGAAATCAATAAAGAAATAAATATTTTTTTAAAATTGATTATTTTTTTGCACAAACATGCATGCATACCCACATACACGGGCATACAGTTGATGTAGTATGAGTCTAGGTTTAGCATTTCAGCTGTAGAAGTCGTATAACATGAAAATTTAAATTTTCTGCATAAATCATAATTGTATATGAATTATTTAAAAAATATTCAAACTAATTTTGGATAACTTTGTTTTCCTCTCAGATACTTGTGCTATTTAAAAGTATAGCACTCTTTATTGTTTAATTTTTCATGTTTTTTTTTCCATGAGACATAAATAGTGCAATAGAGCTATACAGCATTACTTAGAAATACTAATTTTCTAAGTGCTTAACCTAAGTGGTAACGTTTAACAGAGAAAACTGTTTTTATCATTAATTAAACATTAGATATTTTTGTGGATTTCTTTTTCATTTTTTTAGAGAACCAGAGGACGGAAACGAAGCTTCATTCCTGATGAAGAAAAACATGAGGTTGGAATAAGTTAAGCATTTTTTGGACAGTCTAAACTTTGAAAAACTTTTTTGCTAAAAATTATTTCTGCTTTCCTCGTTCCCTGATTTTGTTTTATGTTTTGTTTTGTTCTCCTGGGATGGCAGGAGAGAGTTCCTAGAGAGAGAAGACAGAGGCAGTCTGTGTTACAGAAGAAGCCCAAGGCTGAAGATTTACGAACTGAATGTGCAACTTGCAAGGGAACTGGAGACAATGAAAATCTTGTCAGGTAAGTTGAATTCTGAGACTTTGTCTTTAGGGGATTAAGGCTGCATTTTCATCATTTTCTCATCACAGATATAATGAGGAGGAAAAGCACAGTGCAGGACCTTTTATAAAACCTACCACACATTGGATATTCTCTGGAGCTAGATGTGATTAGGAGCGATAATCTGAATTTTGAACACAAGAGAAGTTGACAATACTCTGCTTATAGAGGCCACAGAAAGAGTTTGTACTAAGATTGTTTTATCTCATTAAATACTGAAATTACTAAGTTCTCTTAGCATGTTACAGAACTTAAACTTTATTAGCAATAATGATAAGGTAGAGATACTTTTTATAGATAAGAGCTCCATCAGTAGTTCTTTACTGTTTACCAAAACAAATGTGTTGAATGCTTCTCTCTTGTGAAATAAAGAAAGGTGAAAAGATGGCCTAGATAGATCTTACTTTGTTTTTTTGTTTTGTTTTGTTTTGTTGTTTGTTTTGTTTTGGTACCTTTTTTTTAGCAGACATAATGCTAATCAGGAATCTCAGCTGATACTGCTATTCCTGATGGTCCAGACACTTCTAAATTTAGCCGTTTGCTTCTTTTTCTGAGATGAAGGAATTGCTCAAAGCCTTTGGTGAGATGGAGAAGTGGGTGGGTGAACTAAGGAAACCTCATTTAAAAGAGTTATCACCTTTTCAAAAGACAGTGACATAAATAATCTTTTAGTATGTCAAGGGAACCCCTTCTGATTTCTTGCAAAATTGTCTTTCATAAAAACCCCTATTAAATTACATGAGGGCCCAGAAATTAAAAGTTTCAAAAGCAGTAAGTTGATAACACGTGTATTAGTTCTATTATACGATTTTAAATATTTGCTTCCAAATGATGTCATTTATTTGTCATTAAAATTATAATTTTTATTTGTTTTAATTCCTCATATAAAAGCAAGAAGTTTGGAATTTATGAGTTTTTTATACTATAATTGAGGAAGATTAGGGGAAAATTAAAATTTTAGTGAAAAAATAGAAAGTGCTTCAACAAAGTCCAGGAAGTCTGTAACATGTGGCCAGTGTTTCTTGAATGTCGTGAGAGCTCTCCTTGAGGTTAAACTCATTTAAATTTAGGATAATGTAGTTCTAATGATAGAAGATACCCATGAATAATTCTGACCACAATGTAATTTTCTAATTTATTAAAAAAAAATTCCAAGCAAAGCATAACATGATGGAGTGCATGAAACAATAAAATAACAAAAATGAATAAACAAAAGGAGGGAAAAAAACCATAAAAACAATCTTATATAGTGGACAAAATTCACTGTAGGGGAAATTTCCTTGGGGTGAGGATGGCATTGTTGTGCATGATCAATTTGGAGAACTGGTTATCTCCTTTTTAATTAATTGAACCTATAGGAATATCTATTCTCTTATTTATTTTTAACTAGTAGGTTTAGGCCTTTTTACTATAAGACCTATACATTTTTACCAGGTTTTTATTTACTTATTTGATCATGTATTTGAAAAAAAAATAATCCAGGAAATAAATACAACTTTTATTTAAAAAACTACTTTATAATAAGAGCTCTTTAACACATATTTTAGTTGTATTAAAAAATAGGTACCATTTTTCTTGTATTCTTGATAATTTTTTGAGTAATATTAGTCTTTCATCTCACTTATTTAATTAGTTTCTGTTATAAAGTTTTCATTCCTAATTGCATTATTATAGCATGCCAGTGTCTGGGATTCTGTGAAAGACTTCTTAGAAGATAAAGATATTTTTGTTACTATAGAAATGACGGTATACAAGCCCTCTTCCATGGTTTTACCTTGTTAAGAAGATAACATCACAGATTTTCTTCAAAGGATTTAAAGAGATAATGAAGAGGACTTAAAAAGTTTTATAAATATTATATATAATGTATTTGAGAACAAAATAAACTGGATATAAAGCAATGCCATAAAATGTTTTATGGTTATAATGTGGTTGCTCCATAAAATGAAAATAAAAAAATACACATTCAGTTTAAGCACTATTGCTCTTGAGTTCAAGAAGAATTACAATTCATGTAGAATTTAATAGGTTTAAAAAGGTAATCTTATAAGCTAATATCTGCCATTTCCCTTAACATCTCTTTTGTTTTGTAACTGGCACCATCATTGTTTACAAATTCCCTAAAAAGTCCACACATTTATGATTAAGTTGCATCTTAATATTATGTACACATGAAATTTTTTTTGCAACATTAATTTTAAGACTTTATTTTCTCTAAGGATGTATTTCAGTGCTTGGTTAGGATTACATTATACTTATATATATATGTCTATTAGGTTCTCATAAAATTAAACTTCTTGGGTCATAATTTAATTAATAATCTCTTATTGAATACACCACATTTATTTCCCAAGTTTCTTTGAACAAGCAAATATGACTCACTAGAACCTGCTGTTTAGCAGCTATGATTTTGAAACCACACTTCTCTATGTAATTCAGGCTATATAAAAATTCCTTCTTAATTATTTTGCTTGCTTTTTCGGTTCTTTGTATATATGTATATGTCAATTTACATGTATAATTTTTTCTATTACTGGGGAATTGCATTCAGTTTATCAGTCAGTTGTAATAGTAGGTTCCAACTGTTATTGTTTGCCTCTTTAGCTTTCCTCAGGTCTTCTTATGGCAATTTCTGTGTCTGAGTTTTTCCCTTTATTGTTGTACATGGTAAAAATCACATTCTGCTGTATTAGGGACTGTTAATAATTGCTCAGTGATAGTAAATTCTTTCCATATAAAATAGTGCAGCAGTGATATAATTTAGTAATACAAAGGATACACATATATGTGGATTCTGAAATAAAGGTTCCATTTGTTAAATATGTTCCAGTAATAATAAATGCTTAATTTTTTTTTTACCTTTCAGAGAATGTGCATGTTCTGTTTTTGTATATAATTATTTCTAGAATATGTGGGACAAAAAATTGAGTTTGTTGAACCTCATTCTTCTGAAGTGATTAGATTGAACTATTTCCATTAGACATGGGAAATGTAAACATTGTCAAGATCTTAAAGAGAAGATGGTTTTACACCATTTTATGGACTTCTTGAAAATAGTGTTTCCTTTTTTTGCCATTTACTTTTTAAATTTAATTAAAAATTACCTGGGAAGTTTCCAATTAAAATATGTATTTCTTTATGTTACTTAGTATTTATCTCTTTGTGATGGATGTTTATTGGAGATAGTTTTGGGCCCACTTAGTGTCTGTCATTTGTTTTTATTTGCACAGTTCCTAGCACATTTACTAGGTGTGCCCGTTAATAGTGCGGATTAACTATTAACCGGTTAATAATTCGGATTGCCTGTTAACCCGTTAAAAATGCAGATTAATTATTAACCGGTTAATAGTGCAGATTACATATTAACCGGTTAATAGTGCGGATTAACTATTAACCAGTTAAAAATGCTGCAGCTCCATTAGGTTTATTACTATTTCTGTCCAGGTTGAGTTTAAATGGTCTTTTTTCTCAAGTAAAGGCTTTTTATAAGTTAGGGACCTTTGGGCTGTGATAATGGAAAACCTAACTAAAATTTTAGGTTTGAAATAACAGACGATTTATTATCTCACATAACAAGAAGTCAGATCGGTTAGCACTGCAATGATGTCCTCAAGGACTTGGTGTCTTCCCATGTTTCTACTCTGATCACTAGTGCCTGATAAATTTAGTGTCTGTCTTCTCAAAATCTCAATATCTCAATATCTCTCTTTCTCTGAACCAGGGAGAGGATAGGGGCAGGCCTACAGACCACTTAGGTCTCCAGGTACCTAAATAGCTTTGTAAGTTTTATTTTGTTAGCAAAGAAAGGAGTCAGTTGCCTTTGAGTGGGCAGTAATGGCAGTTGAATAGGCAACCAATTTTCAACTCTAGCCTTGATTTGCATTTCAGTCTTGTTCAAAATACCAGTATACTAAATAAATGCTTGATAATGCATGATTGCTCCACATAAAAGTAGTGACTGAATATTCTTTGGTGAATTAATCCAAAATTTTTAATATCATAATTTATTCCTAGAATGAATTGGTCACTAACTACAAGTATTTGATGAAGATGTTTAAAATGTTTAATGAAGGAGAATTCCTTTTGTGTGACTAAAGAATAGTGGATATTTTTTTTCTGGATATTAGGTAAGGAAATAGGAACCATAGATTTGAGATGAGTTAGTAAATTCTTCATTGTAAAAGATAAATGAAGGAATTCCTCTCCTTGAACATATTTGATGTTTAAAAGATAGATTTTAGAGATAGTGAGCCTTTTTTCTCTATAAATCCTTATCAGGCTATCACATTAGGAATAAGACCAAAGTTTCAGACCTCAAATTTTCTCTTAGCTGTGTAAACTTATTGCGACACATTTTCTTAGTGGAAGATATGGGAGAGAAAAATTGTTTCCTACAACTAAGAACCTAGTGTCTTTAATATTATTTTATATTGTGGCCAGTACTCAGAGGACAGGAAATGATCTATGAAGCTATATCACTTTTATAGCTAAATCCAAACTATTAAATGCCTGTCATATTATCCTCCTTATTTGAATATATAGCAAATTATATAGGTATTGAACCATTTTAGTTACAAGATTAGATGTCTGTTTAGTTTCTTAACAAAGCTATTACCATTTTTACTTATTTCACATTTTAAACATCTGGCCTCTGAGTACTTTACTCAAAACCAAATTTGATTATATCATCAGTTAATAGGAGTACTAGCAACAATTTATGTTCATAATATTTTTATTTCAAATATTAGTCTCTGATTATTCAGATTTTTTTATTTTTAATTACCTCTTTTGTCCATAATTTGTATGGAGGTTTCTAGATTGCCTGGATCATAGTTGAAGGGGTGTTTTTCTCCCAGAAATTTGATTAGATTAAGAGACTGACGCTAAGATTAGTTGTAACTTTAGTTACTATATTCATAGAACATCAGATCACTTAAAATGGTTTGTTACTTTAAAAAAAC